GGCATTGGCAATGGCAATGGCAATGGCAATGGCAATGGCAATGGCAATAGTAAGCAAATTCAGTTATTCCTTCCTCCTCTTACCTAAAAAGAATCCAGTGGGTGGATGTTGGAGGCATGGGACTGATCTAATAATAAAACTCAAAAGTGCATGACAAGCAAACTATACATGGTTTCCATAATGCTTCGGTGATCCACTTGCTATCCTAGGTTTCCAACTAGACATAGCTCAAATGCTCAATGTTGATAAAGACATATGTCCTGAAAGTTCTAACTTCAGTTTCTTCATTCCAAAGCTCCGATAAACAGTACTTGGCACTTTTACTAGAGATGTTGGTAGGAAACAAAGTTCAGGCCTTCAACATAATTGAGCATGCAACAAATAGACTTTAACGTTCATGTTTGGCATATACAGAAACCAGAACGCTAGGCATAAAATCTGAAGACTGATCTCCATAACCCCATCCCCTTTAAAATTAAATAAATAAATAAAAATGTAGTATATGCAGACTGCAGAGAGAGACTTAAGATAGGCACTCCAAAGAAAATACTTCAATGCAATTTCAAAGCTACAGAACAGGATTCTTGAAGCATACCTGTTTGAGCCGTTCTTTAGTCCTCTCAGCCTGAGAATAAGCACCATAAAAGAAACTCAGCTATTATTCCAAAAATTCAACTACAGGCTAGGAACATATGTATACAAAAACATATAAAGAAAAATACAAACAAATACAAAACAAGATGCATGTGAAAAATCAAACCAAAATTGAAGACAAATCAATGGAAAAGAGGGGGGGGGGGGGGGGGGGGGGGGTGTGTGGAAGTGTTATTGTTCAATGATATGATAAAGACTTCTTGTATCATCCAAATTAGAGTCCAAAAGGACATGCAGAATGACTGCTGGGCAATTTTTTTTTTTCTCACTTAAAGTGGGAAACTAGGTAATGATATATTTGAAGAAAGAACTATTTGATGATTAATGCAAGAGGTGGGCAATGTTAACAAGAAACAATAGAATGAAATAAACGGCTTTGGGTGTAAATTGATAACTGCTTAGTAGTCAACAAAACTACAAAAGTGATAAGATGGCATGCAAACAAAAGATTTTCACCATTAAAGGAAGGCTACACTAACACTTGACAGTTTTGCTATCAATAACAAATATTATATCAACATTCAACAATATGATCCACCTAAAAAATTAGCCATAAACGAATAGAATAAATGCCAATGATGGCTAGTCAGCATCTCTCATGCCATGGCAATGGTTTCTGCCATTCTCCAGCCATAACTAGGGAGACCAACAGACCATGCCAAGTGAGAGAAATTAAAAAGGCCAACAGAAAAAGCTGTTGTGGTCATCTTTGGCCACAATATGAAATTAAAAATTTAATCAACAAAAGTATAAACTCACAGGTAAATAACAGTCATCTACAGTTGAGGAAGAAAACTGAAATTTCCTTTTATAATTGATGCATTTTTCTGCATCAATTTTATAGCTATAATATTTTCAACCACAAAGGTGACAGGTAATTTTTCTCATTCACAGAGGGTGTTCCTCAAGTCTGTCCCATTTCTACAACCTGTCAATAAACCATTCTCAATGTTTGGTGAATTATGTGAAATGGCCAAAGAGATGAGCATCACTGGCCACCACTGGCATAAGAGTTTAATAAATTCACCCAACACTAGGTACTTATTTAACTATTACACCATAATTGAAGGACAAAATGCAATCTTCTGAAGGACAAAATGCAATCTTCTCAAAGTTTAACAAGGGGATCAGTACCTATAAAAATGAACTTCCCAAACTTCAAAGATATTATAAACCCAAACACTTTAGCAGATACCACTAAAAGGTTAGAATTCATGCCAAACCTCCCACCCTTTATAATGTCCAATTACAACTACAAGAATTACCATGGAGCAAGCATAGTAACTTAAAATTCCACACTTTGTGTTTGATAGGTAACACATTGAAGCAACAAAATCCAGATCAATCCAACTATCAGAGTAACAAAATGCCACATTGAAGAGAATATGAGACTGGGCATATCAAAATGTAATACCTTTTCTCTCAATAACTGTGCATTCTCCTCCTCTAACTTTACTGCCATAGACTCTAGTTCAACTTGATAGGCCTGCAAGCAAACACACACACAAATTAGTTTTTAAAAAATGTGGCAGGTGTTAATGGAAGCAATAATCTTTAACCTGTTTTCGCTCTCTAGACCTCGCTGCAGACTCTCTATTCTTGATCATCCTCCGTTGCCTTTGCAGGGCAGCTTTATCCAAGGGTTCCAAAAGGGCTCGCCTCTTCGCTCTCCCTGATCCACTTGCCTCCATTACATTCCCAAATCCAACCACTTCATCCATGCTATGCTGAGGAGTACCTAGGATTGGACTATCAAACATAAAACTCCCCCCACTAAACCTCTCCCCATCTAGCTCAATCTTCACCTCCCCATGCCCGGCCGCCACTGCAGGTTCATCAACAGCCCCAGCCTTCACCAGAAAATCCTCTAGGGTCATCATTTCATCCATTACCTCTTCCTTACACTCCACAGTCGGCGCCTCCTTCTGCTGCAGCCTTTTCCCCTCCACAATCTCCCTCCAAACATCGTCCACCGTCTTACGCACCACAGGCGCATTGGCCGGCGACTCGCCGGCCGGCTCAGTATCTCCGGCGACATCCCGCCGCGCAATTCCATCACTCAGAAGTGCGCTACCCGCCGCCGCTTGATCATCCGCATACACATTCTCTAAGAATCTGTCGAGGGTCATAAAATTCGAATCCGGATTGGTATCATCGCCTTGGTTCTTTGATGCATATTGCTGATTGTGAAAAAAGGCCGGTAAAGTCGTGGAAGAAGAAGACAGCGATGCTGCGGTGGAGGCTTTCCGCCGGATATCAGAAGTCTGCGCGGTTGAAGAAGAAGCCATAAGCTTCGACGTCGCCATTTCCGAGTGGTAAATTACTAGGACGCCGATCAAATTCCTTGGTCTATAAATATCTATAGGTATGTGCGTATGAATTATGCGAAGATTGAGTGATGATTATGTGGGTGTTTGGGAAGCAAAGGATTGGCCTAGGGTTTTGGAGTATAACACTCCTGTTCTTTGGCTCGTTGGGATTACACAAGGAGAAAGGTATAGAGAGAGAGAAAGAGAGAGAGAGAGGATATGCGACTATTCGAGGATGCGTACACGTGGGAGAGCAGGGATGGAGAGAGTTCTAGAGTTCTGTAGCAGTCAGCAATAATCATACATTCTGGGCTTCTTTGGTTATGAACCGTAGCGGATTGTGTTAACGGTTACCAGATAGTGGATTGTATTTACGGATTTGACCAATTAATTGTATTAACAGTTTATAAAAAGATGTTTGATAAAATTAACTGTTCAAATTAGTGATTAACATGTCAAATGACCAAATATATATATATATATATATATATATATATATATATATATATATAATATTATTATTATTTTAACTATAATAAAGCTATATGGTTTGAAAATATTATTATTATTATTATTATTTTAACTATAATAAAGCTATATGGTTTAGGAAGTAATTAATGTTACAATTAATGCTACAACATCCTTTATTAAAAAAAAAACACAACATTTGAAAAATAAAATAGCTATATATTATATAATACATATAAAAATGTACTTTTAAAAAATAAAATAACTATATATTATATAATCATATAAAAAAATGTGTTCAGTTAGAGTTTAAATTTACTCATACAAAATTTAAAATTTGTTTTCCAAATGTAATTATCTTAGTTATTATTCGTATTGTGAAAATTATAATATATATGAAATACAATCAAGAATAAATCAATATAATTATGTAAATTCTCTCTATAAGTTTATTTGAATATGCACATAATTAGAGATTATATTAACCATACAAAATTTTAATTTTAATTTTAATTTTAATTTTAATTTTGTATTCTATAAAAATAATAAATACTTGACCAATGGAAGCTCAAAAATATTATTATATTAAACAATTTAAAATATTTTAGTTTTTCTATTTTTTATTTATATTTATAATAACATAATTTTTCTCGTGCATCGCGCGAGTGAATTACTAGTTACTAATATTAATACTAATATTAATAATAATAATATTATTGTTGTTGTTGTTATTAATTAATAAATAATAATAAGAAAAAAAATAAAAAAGATGTGGGATCGGAAGTTTAGAAGAAAAGGGGCGTTGAGCTCCCTTATGAAAAGGAGCTCAACGCCACTTCTGTTTTACTCTTGCCCATCCGGCCATCCCACATTGGATGGGCAAGAGTAGAGAAGCCAGAAGGGCTTTTGATTCAATATTAATTTTTTTTATTAATAATAATAATAATAATAATAATAATAAATAATGAATGGAGGGTGTTTTGGGGAAGGTTTTACCCTTCCCAAAAACGTCAACCCCAAACGCTGCTAATTGCAGTGTAGTATTGGGGTTGCTCTAAACGGTTGATAACCAAACATTAGAATTAGCATTTTGATTAGGTCAAAACGTTGATTTTAGTCAAATTCGTCAAAAAATGACGGATCAAGCTAACCAAACATGCCCTCTATCACAAAAAATAAAAGGTGTGAATCCGATTAACCGAATTGAAAAAAATTTTAAATCTTAATCGTTAATCAAATTGATATCGAATTAACTGGATTTAAAAAAAAATTGTTAATTGATTGGTTAATTGATTAGTTAAATTTTTTTGGGATAGATCAGCTAGATTTTGAATTATTGATAGACACTTAAACTTTAAAAAAATAGTAAAAAACATTTTTGGTCCTAGACTTATAGTGGCACGGATAATTTTAGTCCTCCATACAAAAAAAATAGATAATTTGTGGACACTCTTATTGTGACGAGTACAATTTTGATCCTCCGTCTGCATTCCAGTTAGATGGTCGTTTGAGAGGAGAATATTTGTCATTTCATGCTATCTCTTTCCCTTTATTCCATCTCTTATGCCTTTATTCCGGCGACGCCCGCGGTGGAGGAAGTGTGGGTTCCATGGCCGTCCATGTCACGAGCAGAGTTATGGAAATAGTAGTCAAATTAGGATTCTTGGCAAGCAGGCCTCTGTTAAAGTAATGAGCTCCGATGAATTTCTTGTTAGACATGGAAGGACTAAACTGAGTTGCACTCTCGAATTCCTCTTTCCACCTCGCTGGAATCTCCCCCATCCCATCATCTCCAAAGCTCTTACTCTCCGGCCAAACCTCGGTGTCAATCACCCCAATAATAACATCCAGACCATAGTCCGTCACCGGACATGCACCGTGGTCGGAACTGAGCCCAAGGAATCCCGACGCGTGGGAAGTGTCAACCTTAACCAAAGCATCCTTAATGGAATACAGATATCCAGGAGATTTCTTGATGGTTTTAAGCTCTGTTGGAGAAAGAACTGCACTAAAACCATGGATGGCATTAGTGTAGGCATACACAAACCCACTGTTTGATATAGAAGAAAGGGTAGCCGAAAACCATCTCTGATGGCTAGTAAAAGCTCTGGGCATGAATGATAAGTCCATATGGACAATATAAGTTCCAGACTGTCCATCAATGGAGAAAACCTACAGAAATGTTACAGAGATAAATGTCATTGATCAGCAAAGTGAGCAAGCAGCTGGAGAAAGTGCATGTACAACGCAAGGGACATCCGGAAGCTAGTCAGGAAGTCATGTTCCTCCGCCAAGACTAGCTCCCGCTTCGCCGCTGTCGGCATGTTTACCAGAAACAAGGTCGGGATAGTTTCAACTGGTGCTATCCCGTCTCTTGTGGAGCTTCTGAAGTGTCAAGATGGTCATTTGCGGGAATTGGCTCAATGTGCATTGTATATCGGAGATTGATGGAATTTTAGCTTTGAGACTCACGGAGATGGAATAAAGGGGAGGAGATATCATGAAATGACACAAATACCCTCCTCTCAAACGGCCATCTAACGGGAATGCAGACGGAGGACCAAAATTGTCCTCGTCACAATAAGAATAAGAGTGTCCACAAATTGTCTTATTTTTTATGGAGGACTAAAATTGTCCGTGCCACTATAAGTCTAGACTAAAAATTTCTTTTACTCTTGAAAAAATTACAATTAGACTTTTTACATGTTACCATCAGGTAATGAGTTAAAATTAGCTGACTTGTCATTCACATATATCCTAAATGTTGACATGTAATATATTTAAATAATTAAATATTTTTTTTAATTATTGGCTGCCATGGCAGCTTGGTAGTTGTCTTCTTCTAGTTTTGGAAGAAGACGCTTCGTCTTCTTCCGGACTAGAAGAAGATCGTTGAGTTGCCATGGCAGTCATTAATAGCGGCCATGGCAGCGTTTTATTTTTAAAAAATTATCTTTCATATTGCTAGGCAGACCACCGAAGAAGTTACATGTCGTTTTAGGATATATATATATATATATATATATATATATATATATATATATATATATATATATATATATATATATATATATATATATATATATATATATATGGTCGCGTTCAAGTGCGAATAGGTGTCCAGGAGAGAAATGCGAACCAATCAGCACGCGCCACGTGTTAGCATTCATTGATCGGGTGCACCTACTTTCACCTACAAGTGCACCTACTTTCGCCTGCAAGTGCATGTAATTTTGCCTTGTTAACATTCATTGATCTGAGCTCATTCTGTTTGACATCGATTTTGTTCTTGCGGGGAGTTCAGCGAGTAGTAGTACCCGTGAAAATCACCCGCAAACATTCATGCACCTAGGTGCAACTACTTATAACTATAGGTGCACTTAGTATTGATGTTCAGTGTAAATTTTACTTGCACCTATAATACATTTTACATGCACTTGTAATACATTTTACTTGCACTTCGATGTTCAATTATTTACGAAAATGCCACCGTATTTTTTTTTAAAAAAATAAGTGTTTCTCATTCATTAGATCTGGACGCGTGAACGGATATCAGGCATTCGCATATTCGCACCTGGGCGCTCCATTCGCACCAGGGCGCTCCATTCGCACCAGGGCGCTCCATTCGCACCAAAGTGCAATTATATATATATATATATATATATATATATATATATATATATATATATATATATATATATATATATATATATATATATATATATATATATATATATAATTTATTTCTCCTGTATTCATCTGCTTTCAGATTACAAGACCTACAGCACCACCGCCTCCGCTCAACTTGCGAGACCATCCATTCTCATCGACTCGTCGTTGCTTTCCACACCGTCTCTCTCTCCCTCGGAGTTTCTCTTCACCGAAAAAAATGGTTAAGGCAAAGACAAGAGGCAGATGCGTTAACAAGACTCTCATCGCATCCCACCCTAGAAAGCAAAAATCACCGCCTCCAATTGCGTTGCACCACTGCCACCCTATCTTCATACCACCGTTGTCAACCGAACAATTTTTCCTCAATCTCAACTTATTTCATCATCAATACAATCTCATCAAGATACCTTGGTGGTGGCCTAGTTTCTTTGACACTCGACGAATCTGGCGATGGTTGTCACCCCATAAGTTCCACTAGCGGTGTTCCTCCTTGTTCTATATGTCCTTTCCACCACTCGTGTCCTCTTCAGCTCAAATTATCACCGAAACTAAACTATAACTTCTCCGATGGCCTACCTGTCAGTATGGAAGGCAATTTTAAAATAAATAAATAAACGCTGCCATGGCAGCTTGGTTGGCTACCAAGCTGCCATGATAGCCAATAATTTAAAAAAAAATTAATTATTTAAATATATTACATATCAGCATATATGATATATGTGGATGCCAATTCATCTAATTTTAACCTATTACTTGATGGTAACATGTAAAAAGTTCTAATTGTATTTTTTTTATAAGTTTAAATGCCTAATTAAAGTTTTTTTGTAGTTAAGAGGACTAATTGCACTTTCATCAATAATTCAAGGGTCTATTTGACCTTTATCTCAAGTTTTTTAAATTAAAATTTTAAATTCTTAAAATTATAAATAAAAATTAAAATTACCAATTACATCAATATATACCTATAATAATAAATCTATAAGAAAAATATATAAAAACAATACAATAACAACATTACAAATATAACAACACAAAATTAAAACGTGTAAGTATAAATAATAGTTAACCTATATATATATATAAATATATATATATATATATATAAATATATATATATATATATATATATATATATATATATATATATATATATATATATATATATATATTATAGCCAATATTTGAGTATTTGATTAATTAGCTTTTCGTAACAACTTATTGCTCCAAAATGCTAAAATTTAAAAAACAACTTTTTGAAAAAGTCATTTTGCATGTTATCCGCTAACAACTTATTTATCAAATATCGCTCTACTGATATCAACTAATCAAACCTACTAATTAACTAAATTATTCAATCAACTAACAAGGTTTACCAAACACCCCCTTAATCATTAAACGACAATTAACCGAAATTCTTCGATTCGGTCGATTAACCAAACTTTTATCAAAAGTTGCATACCCTAAAAATAATAAATTTAAAGAGTGAATACTCGTTTGTAAATTAGATAAATTTATTATTTTTTAAAAAATATACCAAAATATTTTTTTAAAATAAAATAAAAACATATTTATTTCTACAATTCTTTTTATAATAACAGAAAAGTAATTGTTTGGAATGTTGGAAAGTACTTTTTGAAAAAATAAAACAACTAATTTTACCTTACTGTGATCTTGAATTTTACATGTCAATTGAGCTTTTATTTTTTATTTTTGAATTCTGAAAGAGTGAGAGTCAATAGCGTCTCTATTGAGATTTAAACTCACAATCTCCTATGTGAGAGTTCAACTTGATACATTGGACCACAAGGTCAATTGATTTATTTAAACCAATATAAAGAAGTAATTAGCTAAATTGCATAAAAATGAAGAGTTGAGGTGTCTAATTTAAAGTTTAAAGACTTAAATTATTTTTCAGCCTATAATTGAATGGTCTATTTAACCTTCTTTTTAATGAAAGTACATTTTTATTTTTATTTGAAACTTAACGACAATTTAAGTTTATTGTTAAGAACAAAAGTCACCAAATTTGAACCAGAAATAGTATTATATAAACATAAAAGTATATACGGATTATTGTTGTTATTATTATTATTATGTAATAATTGAGGTTAAGTCATCATCCAACTCCATAAAATAAGATAAAAAAAATTTAGTCCAAAATAGATAAAAATACTTTTATTGGCTTGAATGATGATTACATGTGGACTATAATATTTTAAGGCTTTCGTGGATTTTGCTCAAATGTAGAGCAATTGAGGGGCTTGTTGGACTTCTCTATTACTCGAATTGGACTTGTATTTCGATCAAAGTACCAATCAGCAAATACTTCTGCATAAGTCTGCAAAAAATAATTTCATTATTTCAATTGACAATTATAATATAACAAACTCATATAATATATAATTAATACATTTTTATAATATTTTTAGAGTGACATTTAATGGTGGATTGGGGGTAGCACCCTACTAATTGGATGTGAAAATTAGTAGCCTATCTCAATATTCTTTCTCCTAAAAGTTAAATGCCCAAGATCCCAATCCTACGGGCTCTTCACGCCCCGATCCGATAGAGCATTAGGGATGAGATAAATCACGGTAACTCAGTGACTTAACATTTTTTTCTTCTCCTTACAGATTGAATCCCAACCCTAAAGGTTCCTTAGAACTCGGCCCGACAAAGCGTGTGAGAGGAGATAAATCATGGTAACTCAGTGACTTAGCAGACATGACTAAATGCTGATGCCCACAAAGGATCTGTCCACTTTAAACATAATCGCTACACTACCGTTGTTAATTTCGAACATTGATCTCTTCTCTCAAATACGACCTCTCTCAAATACTACCTGCTAAATTATTGAGTTAGTCCGTCGGTATCTCAATATTCATGTCATCTCAATTTGTGCATCAATATTCATGTCATCTCAATTTGTGCATCAATGTTGTTCTATTAGACGGATGAGGGGCACTAATATTTTTATAAATAATTAAAATAAACTAGTATTTTATTTACAAAAAAAACCACTTCTATAAATAATTAAAGTAAAGTATTTTATTTACAAAAGAGCAATTTAATTTGTTTTACAAAAGAGCAATTTAATTTGTTATCCCACATTGTAAAGAAAAACTTACCTTGTTGCCAATGACTCTCAATTTCTTGGGTCCATACCATGAGTGATATGTGAATTCATGGCTAACGCAATTGTTGACCCAAATTGCTATTGATGATTCGGAGTTTTTTTTAGGTAGTAAACTTAAAAAGTCCAATCTCAATTCTGAAAAAAAAAAAAAAAAAAAAAAAAAAAAACGAAAGTGATGATTTCAAACTCTTGAGATATTAAATAATTTCAGTTTTTACTGATATTTAAAATATTGCTGACCTTGCGCTATTTTCATCTCGTTAAGGGTGCAGTTGTTATATGTAACACAACTCACAATTGGCATCGTCAAACCATACTTCAACTAAAATTGTGAAAATAAATATAAAATTCTATTAATTATAATGTACCGATCTATACTAAATACTAATATCAAGAGTTACTATATATAATAAATGAGATTTATTGAAGCAAAATAATATTTCATTCACTTAAAGGGAGCAAATTAAACCTGGATTTGATCAAATGCTGACATGGTTAGAAAAATTGGAGTCTTGA